AGTTGGAAGGTACCCTTTGATAGTCGAGCTGACTGCCCATGAATTGGTGTACAGCCATTCACTTGGGGGGTTGGACTAGACTGGTTGAAAAATTAGATAATGGAGAGAGCATAAATAAGCCAATGAGAAGTGTAGACGAGAACCAGTCCAATGGCTCAATTTCCTTTCTCACTGAAGATTCTGTGAGTATTTGATGAATAAGGAGCCACAGCATATCACCTGCTCATCTTTGCTCTTCTAAAACAGCTGGAGTTTGATGTGACAGCCAGAGGAGAGATTGCTGCCTCGGGAAATGCTTTGCCTTTGACTGATTGCTGAATGGCTGGCAAATTAATTTTGGCACCTTTCCTTAAGTCATTTTGGTCCCATTCCTTCATTTTTCTGCTGGGAAGTGTGTACATTACATTACAGTTAAAAATACCCGCACAACACAAATGTGGAGAATAGGATGTACTGTTTTTATGAAAGAAGTTGTAGGCTGGGATGGTTCCATTTTGTAGGGTAGAAAGGATGCCTCCATGCTCTGTTAGGAGGCCCGCACTCTCAGCACAACTCAAAATTAGTGTTACTCCTCATCGACCTCTCATAAGGTCATGGGCTCCAGGGCTCAAGATTTTGAGTCCTTGGTGAGCCTCAGTTCTAGTCTTTCCCCCTTTGGTACTTATGTGCAGCAAATCCTCCCTGCCCCCCAAAGGTGGGTGGTTAAGAGCCTGAACTTAACCTGTCCGTGCCCCAGTTTTATCCTCTGTAAAAGGGAAATCATAATGACAATAACTTGCCCCACCCTTTCTAGATTTCTTTGTTCACTGCCATCTTCTTTTGTGTGAAGCACAAATGTTTTCAACTGGACATATTTTACATTTACTTTTCTGTTCTTAAGAATGCATTTCAGGGGTGCCTGGGTGGTTCAGTTGGTTAAGTGTCCGACTCTTAATTTCAGCTCAGGTCTTGATCTCCTGGTCCTGAGTTCAAGCCCCATGTTGGGCTCCACACTGGGCATGGAGCCTACTTAAAAAAAAAAAAGAAAAAAAAGAATGCATTTCATTACTGCTGACAAAGGAAAAAGGGATATACACTTTCATTTTTGCTTTTTCAAAGTTAAGTTAAAGAGGCCATGTTTGAGACTTAGAAGGATAAACCTTGGTAAGAAGTGATAGATAGTTTGAGCCTTGCCTTGGGATAAAGATGAAGCTCTGCTGTCTGAGCCCGTGGTGGACCGCTGTGTCTGTCACAGGCTGGGGCTCATTCCCTGGTTCTCCTGATGTCACTGGCCTGTTCTTGTAATCGATCTGTCCCAACTTGTCATTCTTGCCCTTACAGATTAAAAGGTCTTAGTATTAATTCTGATTACTGACTCTTCTGCTCTTACAATTATAGATATAGGTTTAATTTTTTTAATGGTGGTAAAATGCATATAACATAAAATTTAGCATTTTAACCATTTTTAAGTTTGTGTGTATATATGTATGTGTAACACCTTTATCAGAAACCTTAAAAGCATGTTGACTTATCTATGGGAATAGTTTTAAAGATGTGGGAATCTTGGGGCACCTGGGTGGCTCAGTCGGTTAAACATCTGACTTTGGCTCCGGTCATGATCTCAGGGTCCTGGGATCAAGGCCCATGTGGGGCTCTGCTCTCAGCAGGGTGTCTGCTTCTCCCTCTCCCGTTGCCCCTCCCCCCACTTGTGTGTGCTCTCACTCTCTCAAATAAATAAATAAAATCCTTTTAGAAAAAGATGTGGCAACTTAAAAGGTTATAACAATGAATTGAAACCAATCAGTATTGAAATAGTCCATTTGGTGCTACTGTATCTAGCACTGTAGATGCCATCTGAGAATCTACGTATGGATGTAGAAGAGGCATTTTGCTTTCCAGAAAAGTTCTGTATATATTTCCAGTTATTTTGACATTGAGTTCCTTAGGCGTTCTAGATCAGCCACAAAGACAAAACTTGCAGGAAAAAAATATGGAAAAAAATCAGTAAAACTCAGATATATCTGGTCAGATATATCGTAGCCAGACATATCTGGTGCTTCTTCCGAAGCAAAGAGAAAAATATAGTAAAATAAATACCAGTTTAAGTAAGATTTAATCAGCAGCTAGAATAGGTCCTGAGAGACTAAATATGCTCGATAAATATTTGCTGAATGAATGAGTGAATACTTGCCATGTTCAAAACAAACATGAATAATATTGTTATCCTGCAAAACTTTGTTTCTACTTAGTAAAAATGTTTAATGATTAACCTACAATAAAATTTGATCAAAGAGTAGTTCTGTAAGACACACAGGCATGAGAATACTGGCCATAACTAAAAGAACCATATTAAAACTATATTAACTAAGGAATACAACCAACAATCAATAATAATTGAGATAAAGGTTCATATTTTCATTGTCTTTGGAAATCAACTGTCATTAAATTAACAACATAAACAGCACATTATAAAGGGAATGTCTCTGCTGAAAAATAGGCTGAATTCTTCCACTTCAAAAATACTATTTTCCCATTAAGCTCTACCATGAGGATTTATAATTGGCAGTTCCTCATATAGTATCCTATTTACCAATAAAACAAATTATGATACTATAATATTCTATATTTCAGATTATTTCTGAAATATTCTATTCTAAATATTCTATATTTAGATTATTTACTAATGCAGACTAGCATTTCTTCAAATTAGTTAGAATTAATGACCTTTGCTTATAAAGTCAGAAATATCTTTTATTTGAAAATAAATGTTGAGGGATGCCTAGGTGCTCTGTCAGTTAAGCGTCTGCCTTCGGCTTAGGCCATGATCCCAGGGTCCCGGGATGGAGCCCTGCATCGGGCTCCTTGCTCAGTGGGAAGCCTGCTTCTCCCTCTGCCTTCCGCTCCCCTTGCTTGTGCTCTCTTTCTCTGAAAAATAAATAAAATCTTTTTTTAAATTTTTTTTTTAAGATTTATTTATTTGACAGAGAGAGAGAGAAAGAGAGCGCGCACAAGCATAGGGAGAGGCAGACTCCCTGCTGAGCAAGGAGCCCGATGTGGGACTTGATCCCAGGACCCTGGAATCATGACCTGAGCCGAAAGCAGATGCTTAACTGACTGAGCCACCCAGGCTCCCCAATAAATAAAATCTTAAAAAAAAAGTTAAACTCTTAGGATTCAGGGAAATTAAAAAGTTTATGCTTAGTTAAACACACTGCAGTTAATTTTTAAAATCATACAGTTTAGCAGTAGAAATGGTTGAGTGCCTTTTTTTTAAAGACCCCACTCTGGGGAAGACCAATTTGTAGATAAACAACCCATACCCAGCCGCATTGCATAGCTAATGTCTAATGTGTGGGAGTAGGTTAGAAGCAGCTCAAACTAATGAGGTTAAGCCACATACTCTAATCATCCAGACTTGCAACAAAGCAGACAAATAGCATAGAAGCAGGGAGCATTCAATTTATTTCTAAATGATTCCTGCCTTCTTTGTATTCCAGAGTGTCACCAAGTAGATGGTCAGTGTTCATTTCCCACTGTTTCCAAATCTCTTTCAACTTCCAGCATTGCATTTCCCCTAGTTAACTGACTATTGGGCCATAGGCAAGATGAGTTGTAATTCAACATCAGCACAAGACATTGTAAAAAGTCACTTCCTGTTGGCTGGGAAGCTGCCTCTCATCTCCCCCCACCACCTTATGTAGCCTCCAGTAGAGGTGTACGTGGGAGGCTGCAGGCTCCCAGGGACCACACAGCCTGCCTGCCTTGGGAATCCTCAGATCCCTGAGTTCCCAGAGGGGCTCAGCATTCTTGTTGTTACTCACTTTATAATTTTTAAAGATCGGTTCCAATGTAAAATCCTTCCAGAAGTGCTTAGCGTGAAGAAGGTTGTTGGGAAAACCAGTTGAGCTTGATTAATTAGAAAGAAAACCCACACATTTTAATGAAATCTGGAGTAAGACCTCTCTGAAACTACAGTTTACTTTTTGTGTTACTCAGGGTGTGGTTGGAAAAATCATTTTTCCCCCGAAGTAGAAATATACGTATTGTTTTATACACACACACACACACACACACACACATACACACACTCATTGTAAAAGCCTTCAGATAACAGAAATCTATAGAGAAAAAAGTGTCATTCTGCCACTCAGATAACAATGGTTAGTGTTTTGGTATAAAGTTTTCTGGTTTTTTATGGCTTTACAAGCATTCAGATAATTATAGGGTATTTTTTTAGTAGGGTCAGACTATAAACACTATTTAGTAATGTGCCTTTTTATATACTTTCTATATGAACAGATGCACATTTTCACCATAATTTTTATTTTTTTTTTAAAGATTTTATTTATTTGACACAGAGAGAGAGAGAGAGTGAGAAAGCACAAGTAGGGGGAGCAGCAGAGGGAGAGGGAGAAAGGCTCCCCCCTGAGCAAGGAGCCTGATGTGGGGCTGGGTCCCAGGACCCTGGGATCATGACCTGAGCCAAAGGCAGATTCTTAACTGAATGAGCCACCAGGTGTCCCTCACCATAATTTTTGATTGTTTGTGTTCCATTGAAAAATGTACATTTTGTGGTTATTTCCAATTTTTCATTTAAAGGATGTTCTTCTGCAATTGTCCTTGTATATGCGTCTGTTTCTTTGCTATGAATACTTGAAATGGAATTGTTGTGTAAAGGAACATGTACTTTAAAAATTTTTGTTAACAATTGCAAAATTGCTCTCTAGAAAAGTTGTATCGGTTTACCTGCCCGCTGGTATTGTGGGTGAGTGCCCACGCCTCCACACCCTTGGAAATCACACAGGTTAGAAAAGAGTGGTGTTTTAGAGGAGATATCCTTCCATTCTGTGAGTTTAGGGTCATGGCCAGCTTCCTGTAGATGATGTGGTTGTGTTCCTGGTTGCTGAAAATGGTCACCATCACATAACTAGGGCATGTATTCGTTGGCCAGATGGTAAACTCTGGTTTCCCTTTTATGGTGTACTGTCATATCTTAAACCTCCTGTGTTCTTCTCTCTTAGATTGAGGAGGACACGTGGCAGAAATACTACTTGGAAGGAGTCTCAAATGAAATGTACACAGAATATCTCTCCAGTGCCTTCGTGGGTCTGTCCTTCCCTACTGTTTGTGAGTAAGTGACCATTCACCATGTGCTCTTTGGCCCTCAGGGATGTTTAATGTGGCCCTTGCAGGGAAGACACCTCACCTCTGCCCAGCACGGTCGGGATACTCAACAATTACAGAGGGTATCCTGTGCTCTCCGTCCTGTGTGGTGAGTGGGAAGGTGGGTCATTATGTGGTCCCTGTCTTGGGGATTTCTGCTGGCCCTACTTTTCCCTGCAGCTCTGAGAACCTTATGCTTAGATCCATCATTTGCACTAAATTATGAACTTCAGTCCTGCATGTCGTGAATTAGGCTCCTTCCCCGTAGACACAATTATGAAGGGTAGTAGGAACCCTTATCTCTGATTTTACCAGGATGAAAACAGATCTTGCTAGCTCCTTGATGAAAGGAATTTTAATATTTTTCAGTCCAGTCAGATCATAGAGACATCAGAGAAGCCATTATTCAAAGTGCGTTCGTGATTTGCTGAGGAAATGTGGAACCAAATGTATGGAAGGAAGGCTTGAGCCAGCCCTTAGTAACTTAGCCCCCACGTATATGGACAACTGGCATGTTTTGACAATGAGAAGACTTAGCTTCTCCTTCTGTTGGCTCAGCAGGAGGAATTTGAGCAAGAGGCAGCCCCAGCCTGCCATGGCCCCTCTAAGTAGAGTAGGTGACCATCTAAGGGATATGACATCAAGAGTTCCAAGGGTTCCAGACCCTGAGAAACTTCCATCATGATGATGCCTCAGATTTCCCACTTAGAATCTCTGATGTTGGGTGTAAGTCAAACAGGGGTTTTGTCCCCTCTGAAAACACAGACTCCCTGGGAATGCTGAAACATCAAGCCTGATCCACTGATGCTTTAGCAAAAGACTGGATAACCTCAGTCTCACTGATAAAGACCGAGAAGAAATAGGGGAATCTGGGAACGCTTTGGGCTGAGGAAGAAAAGCTGTTCCCTTGAGCTGTCTGGGTGACTACAAACAAAACCCGCCTTCTGGAAAGTGAGGTCTGAAGACGATAGTCCTGGGGGCCCTTGGGCTCCTCTGTCTTAGAGCTTTCTGTTCTGCTCACAGCGGAGAGGCGACGGAGTGCCTGGGATCTTGGTGTTTACCTGGAGACTCCTGTCAATGAACACAGCAGGTGTACTCTATCTGTCTCTGGGCCCAGACCCTAAGCAATCCAAAATGGTCTGGCTGTTTACTGAAATTTCTCACCCTGTCTCTAAGCGAAAGTTTAAACGCTAAATGGACTGGAAAAGTGAATAGGTAATTGATTCGGAAGGAGTTATTTTCTGAAAATGGATGCCCTATTGTAACTCCCATGTGCTCTTTTCTTTGAGAGCTATTTCTCTTTCTGCCACAGAAAGAAGTTAACCATTCAGAGGCATTGGGTCCTGGAACATTGAAGCTGTCCCAGGGGATTTTCTCCACCTTGGAGTTTGGCCTGCCTGAGTTAGAAAGCCCAGGAGGACTTTTAATAGAAGCTGGTTCTATTAAAAAACAAAACAAAACAGTTGAGTCCTCCTATGTGTTGTAGGGGTGGTCTGAGCACACTGCAAAGCTGCCAATGCCGAGGGTCCTATGGTGCTGGGGGCATTAGCAGGGGAGAATGTGAAGACGCGCTCCTTTCCTGTTGATTTCCCCTGGCTTGACCCGTGTTTGTATCTACCATGAGGGCTTCCTCAGAAGCCTGCTTCCCACTGCTTCTCTTATTCTGCTCCTGGGAACCAAGTCAGTTCATTTAAAGAGTGTTAACCTGGAAGGTTAGAACCACTCCCCCTAGAAGCTGTAACTGGGATACCCGTGAGGTACATTTGATTGACAGATTTGGCCCATGTGGTATTTAATGTCTTAAACGTAAGTTGCCAATATTTCAAAATAGTGGTATTTCACATAAAAACTAGATATCTGGCATCTCTTGAATATCTGATGAGCCGACACAGGACTTGCATTTTCACCGGATGCTAACTGGCTCCAGTTTGTTAGAAGGAAGGGTTTAATGTGGGTTCTCCCCTCTCTGATGTCTTAAACCAGGCCAGATTTGCACTGATATCCCAGGCCTGGCCCCATAGACACATGAATTTGCCAGTTCTGACTCACTGGGTGGTGTGAAACTTCATTGCCCTTCGGAGCCAGCTCAAGAACTGGACACTCTTTGCTGCTGTAAATATTTCCCTTGATTGATTTTCATGTTTAGAACATGTTACGAGAAGAGAAGCTCTTTCAGACACACCTTGTTGTCCGAGAATTTAACATTTGTTCAGCACGGCTTCTGGAATACAAAAAAACCAAACTTCTGATGTGAGTGAGAATGTGTTCAACTTAGTACTATTATTCGTTCAGCACAATGATACAGCAGAGGTAGGAATAATCAATAAAGAAAGGACATTTAATGAGATTTAGGAACATCCCAAAACATTGGAGCTCTCCTCAAGCATTTGATTATCTGGAGGCTTAATTATCTGTGTTTTCTACTTTAAATTAAAGAAAAGCCATAACTCAAAGTTACCAGCAGTTTAATGATAACACTCTTCAATTCAGGTTAATTAAAGCACAACCGTAATTAGAGTGTAGTGTTGTATATCACCAGGCTGACGCATAAGTATTTTCATTACAGTAAGAATTGGCTATTCAATTTCAAGATGACAAAAAGGACGCCAAAATATATTTTAAGCTGGTTCATGTAGAAGAAAAAAGAATTGGGGAATATTCTGGGTACAATAAACCACAGATAAAATATACAGATTTTCAGAGCAGTTTCTGTAATTATGCACCACATTAAAACAATATGCAGCCAAGAACATCTTAAAGCATGAAAAGAAATGAATTTGCTCTTCCCCTGGGCTGGCAGAGTGCCCCCTTGCAGGGTGGAATCACTGCACAGGAGAGCCTGGAGTTTTCTCAGAAGCTGGGAGACCCCACCCCCCCTTTTTTAAAAAAGATTTCATTTATCTATTTATTTTAGAGAGAGAGAGAGAGAGCCAGCAGGGTGAGGAGGGGCAGAGGGAGAGGGAGACAGAGAGTCTTAAGCAGCTCCATGCCCAGCGAGGAGCTTGATCTCACCACCCTGAGATCATGACCTGAGCTGAAACCAAGAGTCGGATGCTTAACTGACTGAGCTACCCAGGGGCCCCAGGAGAGCCGTCTATGAAAAGATAAGGGAGCAGGATCCATGGATGAAATTTGAAGTTATTTCCCCAGAGAAGAGAATGGGGAAGAAGGAGAAGCAGGAGGGACAGAAGGCCCCCACAAGGCAAGCTTTTTACAGATTTCAAGTGGAAGGATGCTCTCTCCTGTCCAGGTGGGACCCACACCAGCTGTATCCTTGGACTTCTCTGCACTAGCCTTTTGGCTTCACTGTGTGTATCAGCAGAAGATGCAGCTTTGTTCCAAAACCAGTAACTCATATAGACAAAATGCAGTATTATTTTTAAATAGTTCATTTACATTTTCTCATTTTATCTTCACTATGATCTTGTGGTTTATATTAATAGCACTGTCCCTGGCTTATCCTGACAGGGAGACTGAGACTCAGAGGGTGTTGGTGCCCCTCCAAAGCCACCTAGCACCCAAGTGACAGAGCCAGGGTTATGATGCTAGGCCTGTGTAATTGAGAGCAGCTTGGGGTAGTTGCTATATGAAAGCTGGCTAATTAAGAATCTCCTGGGGAGGGGCACCTGGGTGGCTCAGTTGGTTAAGCAACTGCCTTCGGCTCAGGTCATGATCCCGGGGTCCTGGGATTGAGCCCCACATCGGGCTCCCTGCTCAGCGGAGAGCCTGCTTCTCCCTCCCCCTCTGCCTCTCTGCCCTGCTCATGGTCCCCTGCTCTCTGTCAAATAAATAAATAAAATCTTCAAAAAAAAAAAAAAAGAATCTCCTGGGGAGTTTAGTAAATAGAGAGATTCCTAGACTCCAGCTATATATTTCAATAACTGGGGGAAGCCCCCCCCAATTTGTACTTTTTATAAGCAGGACAGGTGATTCTGATACAAAATCTGTTGACTGGGACCCCCCCCCACCTCCCACCACCACCACTGCTTACCTCATCCCTCCACACCACAGGCTGGAGTAAACTCCCCTCATCCCTCACTTTGGGCTCAGTCACTGGAATGTTTCTTTCTGATTTTAGCCAAATTATAGAATTAGAGGTGGGCCACATGTCACAAGCTTGCCATCATTCCTGCTTCACGTGGGGTATTCTACAATGTCTGGGGAGATAGGATGAGTATACACATCACCACACCAGGCAGACCACTGACTGCTCTGCCCCCCTCCCATGACTAATCCAAGTCAGCATAGGAGGAAGGCATTGGGGTACTGAGCCCTGTAATGCTGAGGCTGGAGCAAGCAGATCCGCGCTAAGTGCTGAGAAGCCCAGGGGAAGACCAGTACAAGTCAGAATGCAGACACTGCTTGACCTGGTTGGCAACCAAGGTGGGTATGTCCTGGACCTTCCCCAGGATGCCCTTAGGTGTTCCTTTTAAGAGCCATCCCCAACTTCTGAGCATCTCCCATTCATTTGGCATAGCTGGCTTGCCCCTGGGTTTGTATGACAGTATGATCAAGGCAGAGGAGCTTTGGGATCTGAAAGAGAAGGTTTCTCAACACCAGAAAACCACCTGCTCACTTTCCCTCCCACTCTCCACCTTCCCCAGGGAAGCAAGTGACTGTGGAGGGTGCAAGGGGCCAACGCCAAGCCTGTGGGAAGCGAGGAGCTGGGGTATGAGCCATGTTTGCCACTAAAGGGTCTTGTTTTTGCACAGTTCCCATAGTAGGGTGCTGCATAATGTCACTGAGTGTGACCTGTGGAATTGCAAAGACCCAGGCTCAAATCTCCATTTCAGCCACTTGGTGGATGTGTCATTTGAGACAAGATACTTGATTTCTGCATGCCTCCTTCCTTTGATAGTGACCAGCTGCCTGACTTTGGACTTGATAAATAGAAATATTACTTATCTCTCAATACTAGCTCATATCCTTTTCCCTTCTCCCACCTCTCCTCTTCCCACTACCAGTCCT